AATCTGAGGCAGTGATTTTTTAGGAAAATGGTTCATTCTGCATGGAAAGAGGCACTTGATGATGATTTCTAGTTTGGCAACAAGTGTTTGGTCTACCTTCGATGCGGAAGACACGACAAATGCGTACCCCACCCTATCCTCTGTGTGCGCCGTTACGCAGATGATGCTCCGCGCACCGTGTGCTGCTGCTGCTGCTGAATGCAGGACTGCACCATTCCTGCCGCCTCCACCGGGGAGGCTGTAATCTGATCCTGTGTGGAGAAGCCGTCGTGCAGGCTGTGAAGAGGAAGAGAGGGCACTGCTTTGCGCTCTGACGCTCTCCTCCTCCTCCTTTTCCTCCTCCTCCTCCTCCTCCCTTTCTGCCTGAGTGTCACCCTCTTCCTCTCTCATCTGTTCACTCCCTGCTCGCTGAGGCTGCTCGGTGGCGCACGAGCCTCCGGGATCATTGTGTGTCGAATTTTGACCCCCTTCCCCCCACACCTTTTTGAAGTCGACGCAAAACGGAGAAGCGTTTTTTTTCCTCTTTTATTTTTTTCTTCTCTCTTCGAGCGCTCTTTACCGTGGGATTCTACCGCATGCACACCAGTCCAGTGACGTTCCCGAGCATGTCCACATCAGAGACGGATTTACCTGAGAGTACGCTGCCCTCACACTGTCAGAGCCATCTCCCATCCCCGCATCATCAGTATTATTCTCATTACTCGGACTTCACCGCTTGTCACTGAGAAACAGAATAAATAGGAGCGGGGGGCGGGCAACACACCGGATTACAAGGATGGGGTTCTACGGCACTTTAAAGATGATTTTCTACAAAGTGAGTAGGATTTCTGCTTTCATTCTATCTGCCTGTGTCACCTCCAGCACACCAACTCCTGTTTTTGATATTGTTATATTTCTTGGTGTCATGACTGAGTGCTGGACTCGCTCGGTCGCCCACATTCTGTTTGACGCGCCTCTCGCGGCAGATTGTGCGGCCACTGCGGAGGATGAACAGCAGTGTAGCAGACCCCCGGAGACTCCTCTTTTTAATTGCCTGGACCTTAATGTTATATCAGAGCACCGTTAAATGTTTTGACAAGGCGATGCCATTTGCCTTCTGTTCTTTTCTTGTAACTTCAGGTGTGTAAATAAAAGCCTCTGTTGTGATTTAGGACCTTTTTTTCCTTGTAAAATGCTCTTTGGTTTGTCCCTTGGCGTTTTTTGCAGTGTTAAAAGCAAATATGTTTATGTTTCTATTGAATTTTCTGTTGGTGAAAAGCCATTCTCTGCTGCACCTGTACATCAGCCGTGGTCCTCCCTTTTCTTATTTTCCTCTAACATTTTCAGTTCTTTCAGACTCAAACTCTTAAAATAGCTGCACACAAACAGCCCCCTTTCTCCCTCATTCTCTCTTTTCTGCATTCCAGCTTGCAGGGTTTTCATAATTAGACATTATGCAGCACCGGTTCTCTCGCACAGACCAAAGTGACTGCTTTGAGATGCACACATGTGATCAGTCCACCTCAGCCTGTTGGTGTAGCCTATTCCCTGACATTGTGCTCTCGCCTCAGGCTCAAAACACAGATAATGGGTCACTGTGTCAGACCGCGTGAGGTAGGATCTCAAGGATGGTTACAGGAATCTTTGGCACCCTTATAATGATGGTCCCTTGTTTGGAAATCAAGAGTGCAGACAAATGTCATTCCAGCTGTAAGTCGGTATCAAAATATCCTCAATCATGGTCATTGTACCATCTGATTAAAAAATGTTCAATGTAGAAGGAGATTTTTTTCACAGAACGCTGCTAATTAACCTCAAATTGTAATTCTGACCCGGTTCATTGAAATAATATGTATTCCTAACCCATTTACTTTAATACTCTTTGGTGTTATTCTTAAAATGTAGTGATTACAAAAACAGCAAAAAGATAAAAAATCCCAAGCAACAACTGCTGAAGTGTTTTTTAAAACATTCACAGCTTGACAGTTCTTAATAAAACATTTCAAAGGTTGCAAAGGTTTTGCATCTCATTAGAAAATTGCTTAAAGCTATATATTTTTAAAATGACTGATAGTAAGATGTGTTGAAATGAATCAACACAATCTGTAAAAATGATTGCTGTCTGTAAAATATTGTTAACCTTCTTCTTCATATCCATCTGGCATGCTTTTGGCCACATACAGAGAAGGGAAGCCCCGGGGAAAGAAGGGTCGACTCATTTGTAGTGATTTATAAACTGATTACCCTTTGCCTGGCTGAAACACAAAAAGAAACTGCTTACATCTTCTTCTTCTTTCTCATGTCAACATTTAGTTTGAGGTTTTCTCACACACAAACACACTCACAGTAAAAAAAGGCACCCAATACTCCCCCTCTTTCTTTCTCTTGTCTCTCACTCAGGAACACACACAAAACACAAGCACACACCCCTCTGCATGCATGCACACACCCAGGCTCTCCCTGGCTACTGAACTGCCATAGCAGTGAGATCACCGCTTTGAGAACAAGGCAATTTGGGTTTAAGCAATGGGCCTTAACTTCTGTAAATATCACATAACTCCTTCTAATTAGACAATCTTCAAATGTAGCCAGGTCCAGCCTTAAAAGGATCGTTCAGATCTTTTGAAGTGGGGTTCTGTGGAAAGGTTTTGAATGAGTACTGTTATAGGTAGCTCTTTGAACAGCCTCATCTTGAAGAAAGAGTTTAATTCTGACCAAATTAACAGGCTAACGGCTAATCCAATCAAAGCCAGCGCTAACATGGATTGTTAAATTAAAACAACTCCAATCTCAAAAATATTTACAGTAGTTCATTCAGACACCTGTTTCATTTGTACATTGGTGCATTACAAAGTTATTCTGGCAGAATCACAACTTTCTCGCTGGTAGTGCTACAACTAGGTACCATTATTCACATTTGCAAATAACCTAAAAAATCCATGTAAAAGCCCCAACATGAACTGGCAAAAACAAACAAACAAAAAAAACTAATAATAATAATTTGTTATTTTAAGATGACATAAGTCTTCTTTGGTTTTGGCCCAGGCCAGATTAAACTCAGAATGATGGTTGACGATGTTCAAATATACCGTAGATCTACATATTGATTGTCCATAACCTTTCTCCACTACCTCTCTTCAAAAAACCCAACGTTTGCTTTTTAATAATTTGTATGAAATTCATTTTTTTCTTCATCCATCTGCCTGTTGTAGTTTCTACAGATTCTGCTTGAATTCAATTAGGTGTTTATTCTCTCTTTTGAACCTTTCAGAACCACCAACCACGAGTAAAATGACAAAGAAATGATCACAAATTCTAGGTTAGATCACAGTTTAATATTCAGGTGCCGTTTCACTTTCGTGGCATGTAAATGGTAAATGGTACATATCCCTGTAGAAGCCCAAGTTTTGGTTGTCAGATGTTGAGAAATTGGTCATTAATCCTCTAAATATTAAGGCAGAAATCTGTTATTGATTGCTAGAGTACAGATGCCTTTTGAATTTTTTTTTTTTTTTTAGGTTCTCAAGGGAAAAAACAACTAGATTTTTTTGCACCACAACTTGCTGTTCTCAGCATTCACGTGTGCCCATTGAGCTGAAACCACAGAGGACAAACACACTCAGACACGCACTCACTAAATTACAGTGATAAACAAAAAAAAAAGCTCACATCTTGAGGTAGACATGTAATCATGCCACTGTAGAGCCAGACAGTATGGAGTCAAATGTCCACTGCTGGTTCCCTGCACAGCGAACAATACTACAATAATAAACCTGCATCAAAAGAGCATTGTGTGCCTCAAAGGGGGAAAACAAGCTAAATTTGGCTTCTGTATTCTATAAGCCAGTATCTAATTATCCTGCACACTGGCAGAAATACACAATTTTCTTGTGCAGGTTGTGGAAAGCAGAAAGCAGACTGGACTGTAACAGCAAAAAAAAAGTTTCCAAATACTTTACCCAATAAATTGCCTTGCCATATTATTCTGTGCAAAAAATGTCACGCACACCAATGAGAGGCTCAGCCTTAGGTGAGTTGTAAAGAGAATATTTACCAGATTTAATTAATTCAACAACAAGACCATATTGTCACGCTGTATATCTCATTTTGGCCAGGCACAATAAAAAAACAAAAAAACAAATCAATGTTTTAGTTGTTAAGCCAGCTCGTTGAGTCATCCCGGCCCAGCGAGGAGACGGTGATCACTAGCATGTGTGTTGAGAAGTCCTGCCAGAGAGAGTGGCAGGCATGGGATGAAGAAAATGAGTTCGCCCGGCCTCTAACACAGACTCTTTTGTTTGCGCAGTAGGGTAGGTGGTAACAGGGAACTGAGTGGCGCAGGTGATGAAGAGTAACGAAGAACGGACTGGTTTATGTTTGTTTGCTATGAATCACAGTGGCACAGAGTGCACCTCGAACCCTCCTGCAAGACTTGCCATATTTTGTGGTGATTGTGTGTGAACATGCCGTACCCTTGGAATTTGGGTGTGAATGTGTTTGCTTCTGGATATTATTGTGTGTCTGGTTGCCCCGGGATAACTGTTCCTGTGGTTATCTTGTTCAAGATGGAACACAAACAAAGTACAGCAGTACTGTAAAACGATTATCTACTTTGCGTGCTCTTATCTCACGATATTGAACTGTTTAAATTTTTTTTAATTACCTTTGGGTCATATCGTCATACTTTGTTATATAACACACTGATAACAATCTTGCTAGTGGATTTTTTTTGTATATAGAAGCTCCTAACATGTGCATCTTGTTTTTGAATATGCTAAATGTTAGACTTAATGTGAACAAAATATGTAAAGTGCAACACTAATTTTACGCCTCTGCCTTTGTCCTTAAAAGCTTCCCTGATCCTTGTTCTGCTTAAATTTGTTTTTCAACCACTGGCAACTTAATAGTAAATTAAATTTGTCTCCAGATAAAAGGGAAAGGCAAGGTTTTATGGATTTTGTTCTAAAAGACTTCTGTATTTTTGTTGCATTCTAATATTTATCCGTTTTGTCCTCCCTCAGATGAAGAGAAAGTTGGACCATGGCCCCGAGGTCCGATCTTTCCCTTCAGGAAAAAAGCCCTGCAAAGGTTCAGAGTACTCGAGGTACAGAAAGACATCCTGCTTTTCACTTTTACTCAATATCCTCTGATTGTAGCCTTTCACTTTTGTTTCCCATCTGCCACACATGCTAAAAAACGAGCCTGCCATTGAAATAAATTAAAACGATCAAGTGGCGCGAACAACAATGCCGCGTGTGTCCTCAAACAGAAGGATGCTTCATGTCCCACTGTATCTGCAGCATCCAGCCAGCAGTCCCAGATGTTTCTCTTCCACTGAATATTTAATGTGTGTGTGTTCACATGCAGCTACATTAAAATTCAAACCGAACACAGCCACTTAAGTGTAAACGTTGCCACGTAACTGGCCCCTTCTCAGCTTCCTCTCCCATTAAAAATGAATCAATAATGAAATCGACCCCCAGCTCCCCATTTTGCCGTCAGCAGGCAAAGCCCAAAACAGTGAGAGGACTCGCAGAATAAGTTCTCCAGCTGCCCTAACATTTTGAAAGTAACGAGTGCCTTTTGAAGGCCTGTTTCACAGAAATCAGTGCGATGGCAATCTGAAGTTTTATTCAATAATCTACATTTGCTACTTAAACAGAACATACCCGTAAAAATGATTGTTGGTTAAATAATTTTTTATTACATTTATGTTTTACTATAACAGTCTTAAGGAATTATCGATTCAATATTTTTGCGTTCTGTATAGTTTTTTGTTTTGTTTTAGCCTTTATCATGTAAAAGTAATTGTTGGTGTTTTATGGTTTTCTTTTAGTTACTTTGCATAAATACATTGATTTTACCCATCAATATATTTTTAATCTTTTTGTAGACTCAGAAGAAAAGTAATTAGTTTTTTACACAGTAAAATGTTCATTTTAATTTGCCAGAAAACAAACTCAGTCAAACCACTGACAAAAAAGTGCTTGTCTCAAACTGCATATTGAAATGTTTAGTTAAATGATTTCATTCAATGTAAATTGTGTTAAAATATTAACAGAAGTGGTGGTAAAGCAACCTGAGAAACTGTCACGTTTCTTTTTTTATTATTTTACTGGTTAAAATGTGCCTCAAACAAGCCTTATACTGTATCAGTGTAGATTTCTCTAAATGTTGTGCTTTTTACCTGTAAATTTGCAGCCCAACAGGAATTGTCCCGTGTCCAGCCACACCCACCACATTTGGCCACATCAGAACAGCCAATGGTCAGGGGCAACAGAGGCGACGAATCACCTCCATCCAGCCACCCACAGGTCTTCAGGAATGGCTCCGAACATTTCAGGTTAGCGGTCCAGAGTTAATGGTCTATTTTAAATTTTTTTTTTTTTTTTTTGAGTGATGCTGAGCTCTCGAGTTTCAGCTCATCAAGAAGCTGCTGTCTGTCCAATCACTGTTCATTTAGTCTCCGAGCGAATTGATTCCTTTTTTAAATTTTTGGGTTCACCAGATTAACATGGGCACTGACTGTAGCATATTTGATTCGTTGAACTAAGTATCTCACAAGTTCTGATCAGAACCACAACTTTTATTAAAGGCTGTCCTCTGGGATCATTAAATATAGACAAACTATTCCTGCGTGGATATATGTAGTGAGAAAATTTAGCATAATTGATTTTTTTTAATACATTCTAATTTTCATTTGAGTTGCCATGAATTTCATTACCTAAGAGAGGTTAAATCTATTGTATTTAGATGACTGACTGAACCTGTGACACCTCAGTGTTTATTTTACATTTATTAGTCACAAGGCCTGACCAGCTGCAGTCTTTGTTCTTACTTCCTAGGCAGCTGAATCTCAAGCTTTCATTCTCTGCGGGTGTGCTACTGTATTTATACCAAAGCTGCCTTTGAATTTTAGTAACAGAATTGTTGGGACTTAATTTCATCTTTGAGAATTAAAGGGGACATATTCATAATCCACTTTTTTAGCTGTTAAATATGTTTTGTTGTGCACTTGGAGTCTCTAGGAGTGCAGAAAATTTGAATTTAGTCTCCCCCAGTGTTGCACAGATAGCTTTATATTCTTTTTGGGTCTTGTTTTTAACCTGTTCAGTCTAAAAAAAGTCTAACTCTGTGAATCCTGCTCATTATAATCTGAGTCTAGACTGCTAAGGATGAAGCACAGCCCCTCCTTTTTAATTTCTGTTAAAGCAGCTCTGTTCAGAGCGGTCGATTTTAGTAGGTAAGAGTTATTTACTGCGCCCTCCCACCTCACTTTGATATTCTATGGGGTGTGCCTTCTAAGGGGTGGACTACATTAGATAAAGGTCAAGCAGAGACAAAGGTAGGTGGGAGGGCTGGAAAAAAATCTACTCTGATCTGGGTTTGTGATGTAAGAAACCTGAATAACTCACTAAATTAGATAATTATGATTATACATTGCACAAAAATGTGATTGTTTAATTTAAATACCTGCTCTCAATAAAGAGGAAAGGTTAGTTTTGTTAATAGTGTGCCTTCTTTAATGTGTTCCCAAAGTTAAAGAAAATAAAGAAAATCCTAATGGAAATAGTAAAATCATAAAATAAAACTATTTATTTTTCAGTTTTATATGGTGATAAATGGATGAATAAACGTAAAAGTTGCATCCAGCGATCTGCAAAAAAAAAAAAAAAAAGGTGAAGCTTTGCTCGACTGCGCAACAAACAAAAAGCTGAAAGCTTTACGAGGCAAAAAGTTCTCGTCTCAGATTAATAACGGTGAACCCGAGGTGTTGCAGATTCTGTTTGAACTTTTGAAATGGCTAGCAGAAAGTTGATGCAACAGGTATGTGTTATGCTAACCCCTTGTTAGGAAGGAGGTTTCTGAACCTCCTCATTACCTCCAGAACCAGCACCTCTGGCTACACCTTTTAGCTGCCAAATTACAGGTGGTGTGCCAGATTTTCCGTCCTCCATCCTGGCCTGTAATCAGTGTTAGTTCAGCGTACCTCAGAGCAAAACAACTACAGCTGGTTGGTTCAGTAAAGAGTTCAGAGCAACTATTCAGCAGCGACTGTCTAACAACTAAATGTCAGAGCTGAAGAAATTGTCCCTCAGAGTTCCACTAAAGGCCGGTTTCTGATATTCTACTTTTCCCCACTTGATGTGTTGGCTGAAATACACAGACGCCTGGCGCAACTCTGCTGCTGTGTATAGTCTCACTGAAAGCCACACTTGAGCAAGACGGGAGGTTTCTGAGTCGCTACAGTCAAAGAAGGTGGCGAACTGGAACAATCCTGTAACACCACCGTCCTGTTTTTCCATTCTCTTTTACACGTTTACCGTTTGGGTGTGGCAGTGCGGAGGAGTGAGCGAGCAGTGGGTATGCTGCTGGCGGAAACATTTCCGCCAGAGTACTGGATTGACACTTTATCATTCTCAGAGTTTGTAAAACTAAATTGCAGAGTAAATACAGAAAGGAAAAACTGCAGACGCTGCAGGGAGCTTTCGCTGCTGTGTAATTCAAATTGTCCTCATGATTGTGTACTGATAACACTAACACAGTCAGCACTGTTGCAGAGAAATTATTACAAAGTTTGGTAAATAAAAATAAAGTTAGCTAAAGTTAGTTTTGTTACACTCAAAATTTTGTTACTGAGAAACAAATAGAATATAAAAACCTCTGTGTTTTGGCTTTTATTTGTTTAGATGGAGTTTTGTTAGGAAATAGTTGCTGCAAAGTCTTTTTTTATTAGTCTACTCAAGCACACAATATACACTTTCTTATATTCTTAACTAAATATCTCAGCATTTACTTTTTTAAACCTGTAGAAAATAAAATTTACCTTTTTATTAGGTTAGAAAATTTCCACATTTAATTATTGACACAGTTTAAAAGGTTTAAGGCTTTAAAATAAACGTGTTTTCAGCATAACTCTAGTGATCTAAAAACATGTAGCTGATTCTTTTTTTTTTTGGACAATATTAACCCTGTGTATTCTCTAGAACAGGGGTCTGCAACCTAAAGAGACATTTCTGCTCCTCCTCATCAATAATAAAACGTGTCTGGAGCCATGAAATGCCCTGCAACTGTGATTATCAACTGGTGGCCCGTTGGCCACTTTGAGTTTGTTGAAGGGGGCACTTTTCCGGCCAGTGGAGGTGACCTTATTAAACAAAAAATTACTGTAATTTATGTTTGTTGTTATTTTTAAACTTTAGAACAAAAGAAAGGACGATTATCAGGNATATAAAGTATACTAAATTTGATAAACTAAAAGTAAACAGGACTATACCAGCAACTTGTCTTAAAAGGAATAAAAAAATTCTGATAGATTTGAGAGAAAGATCATACGGTGAGTTTGTAAGTTGTATTTTTAAAGTGGCAAACAGGCTCCTAGCATGATTTAATCAACGTGGTTCCTTGTAGTAATATTCATCACATATTTGCAAACAAATTGACAGGAAAACTTAAAACTGCTGTAGTGGATGTAAAACACAAAAATGTATTAGTTTTGATCAAAGCTTCAAGGAGCTGCTGCAGAGGAACCAAAGAGCCAAGTGTGGCCCCAAAGCCACAGGTTGCAGACCCCTGCTCTAGAATAACCATGTTTAATGCAACATACATGAAACTCAAACACTTAAATAATTCCCATGTACATACATGTGCTGCGTGTGTTTTTAGAGCTGGACTGGTCCAGAAAAGCTGCTGGCGCTGGATGAGTTGATAGACAGCTGCGAGCCCACACAAGTCAAGCATATGATGCAGGTGATCGAGCCGCAATTTCAGCGCGACTTCATCTCCCTGCTGCCCAAAGAGGTGAGTTCCTCCCTGGACCCTAAGATCTGTAAAAGGACGCTCAGCCTTGTTTGCAGTCTGCTCCTGTGTCTCACGTTTTTTTCAACAACCGCAACCAATCTTTTTGTTCGTTTATGCATGATAATCAAACCGAATAATCTGTAATGAACCTCTCTTTAGACCATGCAAGGACATTTTGTATCAGCTCTGTGTTGTAGAGCGGATCAAATGTTTAACACTCAGGTGATGGGATGGAGGGTGTGGTGGGACTGAAGGTGAGGCAATAAGGTGCAACACGATAGTGTCAATGATGAGGATACAAATTGCCTCGTGTGTGCTCACGTCAGGATATGGCTTCTCTTTTTCTTTATTCACTTTTCTCCCCTTTTGTTTGTTCTCATTAATCAACTGCATTGTTATTTTTTGATTGTTTTGTGTCTTTTCAGCTCTACCAGCTAAAAAAAAACAAAGAAAAGCTATGATCATTGATACCTGGAAACTGTAAAATCTATCTGTGTATTCATTTTCTGACTCAGACTAAAGATTGTGATAACAAAACGACTTCAAAGCCTACATTCTGATTTTAAAAACGTTTTGACCCGTTCAATGCTGGTCATGCGCAAAAGTAAGTTATATGGTATTTAACAAAGTAAGAGATAAGTATAACAATGTGCTGAAAAATGTAGGCTGTGGAGAAACATCTAATTGCCAAGAACCATGTGCTCGAGGGGGGAAAAACTCAGCAAAGGGAAAGGAAATTATGGAAAGTACTACGCACTTTATAACCATTTCACCTTTTAATTAGTTGCTCAACACTCTGAAATTATCAGCTCTAATTGATTTATTTTTTCTTTTGTTTAGTTCCAGTGGCCTCTAGCTGACTGTTGCCAAGAAATTACTGTACGTCTGAACCTAAAAACGAGAATTCATTTTCTTAACAAGGCATTGTGTTTTAAAATGTCAGAATAAATCTGACATTTTACTCCATGTTTATGGTGTCTCCTCTGTGATGTGGATCTTTATCAGTTTAATACAGATTAATCAAACCGTACAAAGCAGATTTGATCTTGCTGAAGTTACTGAAGCTGACAGTGATTGTTGCAAACTCGATACAAATCTATGATTTGATTCATTGTGTTATGATCACAACTGAAGTTTGATTGATAATATTGTGCAAATTTTGTCTGTTTTTAATATACTGGTTTATTTGTGTTTGCTTCCCTGCAGCCAGAACTTTTTTTTTCTCTTAAAACTCCTAAACTCAAGGGATGAACCAGTTTGTCGACAAATAACCTGCAACTTAGCAAAAAACTAATTGTAAATGGGATATTTAGGAATTTTGGGAGCAGCAACTGCTCACAAAGACACACTTTGTTCTTATTGCTTTAGTTGAATTTTCAAAATAATATATGAAATAATACAGTAAAGTAGTATTTTAGTATCAACAAAATGATTCTTAAAGAACTCAAATCTTACAGTCCTACTGTTGATGATAAACTGACAGATGATGCTTCTCTCAAGTCCTGTTTTAGATCTTTGCTGGATATTTTTCTATTTCTTAAAGACTTTCACATAATGTTTGTCTGCTGTTCCCCTCTTTTTATTTATTTATTTATTTTTTCTCATTTTCTAAACACCTACTGTGCAATATGCTATCCTGGTCTGGCTTAAAGATTGGACAGAAAATTAGTAAAAAAAAACAGCCAATTAAAAAGAGAAAGAAAAAGACTGAAAGACTTTCAGAACTATTGATCAAGACCACTTTAATAGATTACAAGAAAGGTCAGCTCCTTGGATGCAAAATATATAGAAATGAAAGGTAGATTAAAACTTTGGCACAGTCCTGTACATTCGTTACATGTTCTTCTTTTTTTGTCTGTCATCAGCTGGCTTTGTATGTGCTGTCATTCCTGGAACCGAAGGACCTCCTCCAAGCGGCACAGACATGTCGCTACTGGCGCATCCTGGCAGAGGACAACTTGCTGTGGAGGGAGAAATGCAGGGAAGAAGGTGAGTTCTTAAACCTTTTAAGAGACACCAAGCTGGGATCAGTGATGAATTCACATGTGCTTCGAAATAAATAATCTTTGCAGGAAATAAGAGCTACTTGGCTACTCTCGCTCTCTCTCCTAACAGGTATTGATGAGCCTCTATCTTTGAAGAAAAGGAAAATTGTCAAGCCCGGCTTCACTCACAGCCCCTGGAAGAGTGCCTACATCAGGCAACACAGAATAGACACTAACTGGAGGAGAGGGGACCTTAAATCACCCAAGGTAGTTTTTTTTAAACCCCCACTGCGAACCTGAATTCCCCACAGGTTAGTAGATCTTGAAGAGCTGATATCAAATGGCTTTGAGTCAAAGAATGGCAGTTCAAGAAGAGGTCTGAATTGCAGACTTGATAGAAAGATAGTGATAAGTCACGTCTGCTGTAGTCTTGTGAAATAATAATAGAGTTGGGCCAAAGGGTGGTCTTTTTCAATCTAAAGTTTCTGTTCTTAGTTCTGAAGTAAAAAAAATAATGAAAAAAAAACACGAGCAGCATGTTAAAGCAGGTCTTCAATGGACCTTGAAAGCTGCTTTAAAAAAAGCTGCAGGTCATTTAAGGGCATAAATTAGCTCCCTGTGGTCTTTGTACTCCTTTGCATATGCAGCAAGTTCTGTCATTTGCTGAGCTTGCATTTATGTGACCCACTAGCAGAGGCAGCACATAAACACAGATGCAAACAGCTCTCCTGAAACATCTTTGTACACCTGCAGCACTTTTTGACATTTTCCTCTTATCTCATTTTCCGCTTTGATTGAGAAAGCCCCAGAGACAGTTTGCGTCGTTCGCTTTGTCATCCCTGCATCTTTTTCCAGTTTATGTCCCTCCTCATTGCTTCCCCTGCTTATCTGTCTTGTGTCAAGGTGCTGAAAGGACACGACGACCATGTGATCACCTGCCTCCAGTTCTGTGGAAACCGCATCGTCAGCGGCTCTGACGACAACACGCTGAAAGTCTGGTCAGCCATCACCGGAAAGGTAATGACAGAGATCAGGCTAATTTCGCTGTAGAAGGGTTCATATCAGGTGCTTGTTCTCAACCTTGGACCGATGACTCGTCCTGGTGGTCAGATTTAACTCTGAAGGGAGATACACCAGAGTTTTAAAACCTAGTCAGTGTGGCTCTTTAAAATTTCTAATCATTTGGAGGAAATCCTGCTGCTCAGCCATTTAGTTTTCGGAGTGCTTTTAGTGCCCACATTGTTAGGCGCATCAGGTTCTTTGTCGAGGTCAGCGATGCTGTCCGCACGCTTCAAAAGAAATCGTGTTTTTATAGATTTCATCAACCAGTGGGATGGAGTCTGTGCGCAAAAAGGCAGTGAGTGCTATGCCACAGAACCTGCTGACAGATGTTTAAAATGTCTCTGTGGGATCAAAGCTGAGCCTAAACAACTTCTAGATAATAATGTCGGTTCTCCCCAAGCTGGACAGGAAAGGCACAAAAAGTGGTCTACAGGTGGTTATTTTGTAGCTGAGTGGTTATTCTGGAAAAAATATATATATTGATACTCCTGCAGGAGGTGACCCAGCCTGCAGCACAAGTGCTACAGCTCTGTCACCCTCACAAATAAGTAAAGCACTCAATGTAAATAACAACACACTGCAAAAGTGACTGAGATGTAAAGGTTAGCCTGTTAGTCTTCGCGCTAGCACTGACGCTATATTGCCTTATATGTATTAGCTCAGTGCTAGCGTGACAAAAAAGCTAAACTGAGGTCCTCCATCCATATTTTCAGTTGCAGACTGAGTCATTTTTGCGTTCCCCTCTCTGTCATGTGGATGGAGGACCTCAGTGATGAGAAGAGAATGTGTAGCGCTGAGCTAATACATATATATGGTGATAGTGTTGGGGCTAACCCTAAAGCTAACAGGCTAAGCTGAGGTTCTTCTTCAATGAAGCAGCTCTGTTGTCCTCCATCTATATTTTCAGCTACAGGCTGAGTCATTTCTACCTTCTCCTCTCTGTCAACGCTCTCTGGTTTCATTTAAAAGAGTTGATCGTCAGATATTGTCCAAGATTAATCTTCAGGGTGGACATAGCTCGCTAGCAGCCTCGCACCGAGGACCTTTCCAGATCATCATTTACCCAGAATGCTTTGTGTATAAATAAAATGGCACCGTCCATGTAATATTTTTTTAAACTTTTAGTTTAAAAATTATAAAAACTGAACTTCCTACAGTATTTTTACAGTCTTTATTTTACAGTTAAAAATATATGTTTATTAAATAAAGTCTAACGTTACAACTAATCATGGATCCCTTTAAGTATTTTGAGTTTATATTGAATTTTGTATTGATTTAAAAGTGAAGGTTTTTTTGTTTTGTTTTGTTTTTTTGTGTTTTAACACTGTAGATTTCCTGAGATATAACTGTAACTGCTGCACTTTAAGCACCTAACTCCTCGGTACCCTGATCAAAAATCTTTTTGTTTCTCCTACAGTCTTGTAGCAAAGTTTTTTTTCAGCTCTCATAATTTATCAGAGTTGTTACTTGTCTGCAGATAGTGTTAGTGTTCATAACTGAATCTGGAGCAGCTGCACAGACCTCTTTTTCTGTCGCTCTGTATATTAAAACAAAGGCAGATTTAGTACTACGATGGAGAGACGTTCAGATTGTTGCGGATCACGTGGCAGGTCATGCCTCATGGTTTGGACCATTTCCAGTCAGTTGTTAAGTAGCTCTCTATTCACATATTGAATGCTTACTGTATTTTTTAGTTTGTTCCATTTTAAAGGTTGATTTGAATTTGCTTTTCTATCTTCGAAAAAAATAATAAAATTAAAGAAAAGTGCTCAGACATTTACAGTGCATAACTGTGCTGCACTTGTGTTTTTGAATATATTACACCCATTTTTTTTTCTTTTCATTGAAGCGAAGCTGCTTTCTTACATAAAGCAAACTTGGCTCTGGGCCCGCCTTTAATTTCATGCATATCAGTCACAGCGTTTGCTAATCTGAGCCGATCTCTCCAAGGTCGTTCAATAGGCATTGACTCTCGGTTTGGCTCCACTTCACCCAAAGACTAATAGTTACAGTCAAGTCGGGGGCAGGTGTCTGCAGTGAGTCACATCACCAGCAGGTTCTGCAGCTTTTTGCTTGAAACCTGCTGCATTCAGTTCAGACTAATGTCAAAGAGAGGGAGGGGTGGGCTCTTTGTAGGTGTTTTCTTGCTCAACTGCCTCGAGATTGTTTGTTTACAGATGTCAGGAGGGATGAGATGAGCCAAAATCCGTTTGTTTGGGTGCAGTAATCAGAGCGCAAACATCCTCCTCCTGTGAGCTCTCCGTGCTGAGGAGAAACCTTTTGCTGTGGAGGAGCAGCCAATTAAGCCGAGTCAACCATTTCAATGAACAGATTGTTGATGCGGGTAAAGCCTAAATAAAAATACAATGAGGTTAGCAGCTCTTGTATTTAAATGTTCTTTTTGTTGTCAGCATTAGTTAGTCTAAGCCAGCTCCTGTAGGACGTTTCATCTGATAGTTTGTCCTGATTAGATCCCGGCGTGGAAATCGGTTATCAGTGATATTGATGGGTTAAACGGTTTGACGTGCCTCTTGTTTTCCAGAGCTCCTGGCCAAAATATTCCTTTTCCTCCTTATAGTTTGAAGTGCCAGAATTCAAACGAACATATTAAATTGTTTTAACATCGATCCATTTAAAGTTGGTGCACCTTTTATCTCTAATTAACCACCCAACTTCAACAAAGCTCTGCAGCTAACACCGAGGCTGAATCCCTCCTCAAGATTGGATCAATAACAGATAGCAGCATGGTGATCATCACAGATGAGGACTTGAAATTCGAAATTTTAATGTTTAATTTTCTTTTCAAATCGGCTCCTGCTGCTTGTACTCTCTGCAATGAAATTAACAGAATGGGATAACATGTTTTTCATGTCTTGGGCAAATATTATCCGAGTCAGGACTATACTAGCCCTCCCTCTTGTTCCTCAGAAACGTAGTGTTTCGCTCAGAGAGATTCCCCTTGTGATGAGGTGAAAATCAAGTGCTGCTAAATCTTTCAAAGTGTTCCCGTTTTAGCGCCATCACACCGTGTTCCCAACTCGACTCTAAATACTGCATCAGATATGATGAGGACAAGCTCATAACAGATGTTTTTATTAGCAGTTTAACAAATCTTTCAGAAAGCTGTCTCCTCTTTAGGATCAGTAAATCATGACATAAATGCTGCGTCTTATTTTTAACTAATGTTCATCGATGAAGCCAAAACTTTATCTACCACCAAAACAGATGTGATAATCTTTCCTTGCTGCTTCACTTGCCCTGTCTTTGCTTTATATTAAACACAGTGAATTGAATCCATGCTGTGAGGCAGGCAGGGATTAGTACTTTAAGAACCCATTTGATATAAATGCTTTACACCTCTGGAAAAAGGGAGGCCTCTAATTTAAAATTTTGGTCCTAAAAGGAGAGATTATTGCACTCAGCAAACCGGAGAATAGTGGCATAAAACTGACTGATAAACTGTTCTGATTTGTAGTTTGGAAAATCAAAACAAAATAAAAATTAATGGGTTTTTCCACTGCAGAAGTTCTTGTTTAGACCATGCTGTAAGGTTATGTTTTTAAGCAACTGAACCTTTTTTCTTCGTGCGTCTCCAGCTTTAGCACAATCTGTCAGTCTTCTACCCGAACACACGAACAGGTGCACAGATCTCTGCTTCAAAGGGGGCTCCCTTGTGTTTAACTTTGTATGCGGGCGTGTGCGTCCTTGGTTGGTACCTGTCAGCGGCAGCCTCGGCTGTCATACACATTTAAGATGGCAGACCTGTAGATTGCCGCCGTGTCCGGGGAGAGACTTCCACCGCCAGATGCTGTAGAGCTGCATCAGTACACGCTTTACTCAGTCCTGTTAATCAACAAGCCCCAGAGATTTGAATCTTTTGTAACTATAAACAGAATAATAAAAGATAGGGAAAAGAATACTGCTGTTAGTATTCCTGTAATTTAATTTTTAGGAACAGATGCGTGAAAATGATTCGTCTTTGTTTGTGTGATCGCTTCAAGCTGTGAAACACAAAGTGTGTTTAAGCCTATTTATATTACAGGTGTGTGTTGGCCTTGTACAAGCAGCAGGTTTCCCATTATTTTAATTTAAAACAAGAGTTTGAATCATTTTGAAGTGGAGTTCTGTAGAGAAAATTTGGACACTGCTCACTTTACCCATCATTTTTACATAACAGGAGCATTAGCAGCTAGCTGTAGCCATTCTATTGCAGCCTGCATGAATGGCATTAAAATTCTGCAGGAAAAACAGTGTAGCTGGAAATTGGTAGTGTATAAAATGGTTTTCTTATAGATTCCTATTAAACTTTTGAGATAATGGTTGTTTTAAGATGGCAACAGTCCACTTCATCTTGGTCCCACTTAGAGTTGGGCATAATGGTATCATGTGTAATTAAACATATAACGCCATTTCAAACGATCTGAGCTACAATAAACCAGGTAGAACTAAAGACTTAGTTTGGCCAGGATACTTTTGGTCCTTTAAGCAGTAATCTACCAGTCCTAGTATCGGATCAATTGTCCTTTTCTCTGCATTTTTACATTAATTGGTCCTCAAGCATTGAGTATAATACCTCATCCCCCAATCCCTAACAAAAGTACTCTAAAGAGCGATGATAAAAATGTACCAAAATCTCTTGTGTGTGGACATTTATTTTTTCGACTGAAAAATAGGAGCAGCCCAGCAGCCACTTGTAATATCTGCGATTTAAGCATTTAATGAGGCAGAGACTCGTTCAATAGTACCACTTTCATTAGACGTCTAATGTTTAAACACATGACTGAATACAATGAGTTCACTTTGTTAACTCGGGCTTAGGTTCCGTCAAAATGCCACACTGAAGCTGATGTTCAGTTTTCATCAGAAAGGGCACGTCTCTTTCTGTCCTTAACCACCAAATCACAAACCGCCGAACAGTTAACACTTAATGAAAGCTTTGAAGAAAACAGATTTGTTTCTGAGGCCATATGATAAGACAGAAAAGATTACAGCATAGTTGATTTAATTCATTCCTGTGGCTGAGAATATGAGTTCTTTGTTGCTGTTTTCCTTTTTCTGTAGTCTGAATAATGTAGGGCATTCTGAAGCTATGCATTCGACACATACTACCCAATTAATTTAATTGGACCGTACTATTATTCTTTATTCCAGACTTTTGGAATTCAGATGTCACTTTAGCCTTGCTGTGGGGAAAAATGGATTTATCATTTGATCAAATAAAATCTCCAACAGTTCAGTAGATCCTGTAAGACAGAGCATCTGAAGCAGGCGATCTGTTAGATGAGCTGTGTATCTATCTGTCATGATGATGCAAGAGATGGAAAAAACAGGAATAGACTTACCTACCAGTGCAGAATCACTAACACAGTGCTAATTGTTGCAAACACAGTAATAATACCAGCATTGTGTATAGTTAGCGACTGTGTTTTGTTTTAAAAAAATTTCAGATTGAGGACAATCTAGTGAACATTTTAGGTTATTCTAATTTTGTAAATTTAAAAAAAACCATGTCATTAGTTTTTACATCTTAGAACATGTTATTAAAGTTCCGGTTACTTTAGCTCCCAGCGTATTTAACCGAAACGATCATGTAACATTCGTAACCTCCTTTTCCTGTTTTTCCTGTTTCAAATAATCAGGTGTGTAGATGTGACTGTGGCCACAACAATCTTTTAATTACGGGGTTTTAGTCTGTGATTATCTGATGCCTTTACCTGTGGCTGTTGGGTTTAACCTTTGGAAAGTTTGATCTCGGTGCATATTTGGCCCTGTTGAACCTCGTTTCATGATATTTCCGGTCAGGGTCAAGAAAGGTGGGTTTTTCAATTTACAGGAAAACGTGCAGCACTTAATGGTGTCAGTCTGTTTGGTTTTTAAACTGGAACCTTCCCCTTTTTTGTTCTTGTGTTTTAAACAAAGAAAATATTTTATGTAAATTTAAAATATTAGATGAAAAGCCTTGTGTTCAAAATAGGCTTTCACAGGTTGAATAATCTTCCTTCATTCTCAGAGAGGAGCTTATTTTATATTTGTTGCACAGACAGATAAAGATACTTAAGCCCCTCATTCCAGAGATTCTCTCTTCCCACGCAGTGTTTGAGTAGGCTTTAATCACTCTGAGTCTTGTTCTTGGAGATCTCTTCTAAGTCCTTGATTCAGAAAGAAGAATTTGGATTTTTTTATATGTTCAGCGCAACTGTTGTCGAGTGGATAGGATAGGCTTTATTCATAACAAACTTAAATTGGGACTTTTTTTCCCCAGAGATAATGTCACATTTCGACATTTCGAGTAATAAATCATGATATTTTGTCATGTTTTTCTGTTTTGTTTTTTTAATCATAAGATGGATGACATTTGTCAAACTGCAGCCTCATCTCTTCACCAGTTGCAGTAAAAACCTTTCCTCCCTGTGCCACCGCCACTCGCTTATCTGCTGCAGTCAGAGGTCACACGTTGTACACTTAAAACGACACGCTTCACTCTGAACCTAACACAACTCGCAGCTGCTGCCAGTGTCTGCTCCCCACCCCCAGAGGATTTCAGTTTAATGCATTTAGGATAATTAAATCGGGACAAACTGTGGAGACGCAAATTCAATTGATCAGAAAGATTTCCATAACTGCTATAATCAATAGCTAATCTACCATCCCTAATGAGAATGAATGGATGCGTTTTATTGAGTATGGCTGTCAACCCCCCTATTCAACAGCAAGAATGAATTGGCCGCATTTCTAACAGATAAGTAAAAGCAATTATTTAAAAAAAAGGCTTGTATTAAAAAAAAGGCTCGTGGAGGGATCTGAGAGATATTCTGCTCCGGTGCTGAAGCGAGGATGTGTGAGCTTTTCTTTTTCCTACCAATATAAGTTCGCATACATTTTAATTTCACTTCCCCCGCCCCCACCGCCTGGAGGCAGCATGAGGTTATACGGGAACAAAATCCCAAATGAGATTTCGAGCTCCAACAACTGAATACGTATAAATGTAATCACCCCGAAAATCTTTGAAGCTAACATTCAAAGAAGCGGGGGAGGATGACGCCGGTTCCCTCTCCTCTCTGTGGTGTTGCAGTGTCTGCGGACGTTGGTGGGCCACACGGGGGGCGTGTGGTCGTCTCAGATGCGAGACAACATCATCATCAGCGGCTCCACGGATCGCACCCTCAAGGTCTGGAATGCAGAGACGGGAGAATGTATCCACACCCTCTACGGGCATACCTCAACAGTGCGCTGCATGCACCTACATGAGAAAAGGTATGGAGCAGTCCTGTTACTGAGTGACATTAAGCTCATGTGAAAGCTTTAAGTCCACAGTTGGTTGTTATGTAACAACGATTTGATGGAAGCTCCAGCAGCAGGTAAACATTTTAATAATAAAAATAAAGCTTGAATTTTCTAGCCCAGTTAGAATTAAACAGTGAGCTTTTTTTATGTCTTTTAATGTGATTTTAAAAAGGTTCCCAAAGGCTAAAGGGATTCAAAACAAACCTCTCAAATTTTTATAAAGTTACCAACTGCATCTATTTAACACAAACTCTTAAAGTAAGACAAAATTCTTGCACAGTTTACATCAGTTTTCATAATTTGTATAAAACCGAAGAGTAAAACCAAAAACTTTGTCATTAAAAAGGAGTAAATCTTGAGTCATGTTGTTGTCGTTACCCATGGTTCATAACATGCATCCTAATCAGGCAAAAAGAGCAACCACAGCATTAAAGGAGGACCATATTTATCTATATCTATAGAAGCCAGCATGTGGTTTCATAGTGATTAAATAGACCCTGTGAGCAGTCTTAAGTGAACTGCAGCTCACTCATTCACTCAGTATCACACTCTGGAGACTCAAAAGTGCTCTTTTTGCCTTGGGGCCAACCAAGGTTTTTGTGTAGCATTTGATTACTCACTGTGTGGAAAGGCTGCAAGCTGCAGACAGTGAATAACATATCAGTGATTTCCATCTATGAAGCGCTGTGAGGCATTTGCTAAAAAAAGAAGAGTATTTGCTCTGTACGGCTGCAAGGATTTTTAAAATATATTTTATCTAAGTGGTCTGTGGACGAGGTTTTTTGATACTATAGAAACCTCTGTGTTCAAGTCTGCACTGAACCTACTGGAAGGCAAATAACGCAGCGACAGATTCAATACTTATTTCTTTCTAACCTCCAACGAACGGAAAACATGTAAAACTTGAGAAGTCACTTTTAAGAGGGAGTTTTCTGAAACCTATAATAATCTGTCCATCTTTTGTGGAGACGTGGCTTGAGGCAGCAGTTTGATGTAGACAGCAGTTTCTGTACATTCAAGTGTGAACATGTATGATATGCTGTTTACAGCCAACTTCTCTGTCAGCACTGCTGTCCCTGTATGCTACTTTTGAATTTAATGCTCAGGTAGAAAACCAAAACCTTTGCACAGACACATCTATTTAAATCAATTCCTGGCTGACATTTTTTTTAAGTCATGTTGGTTTGATGATATCTGACGTCGTGTTTGTGTGGCGTTTGCTCTCAGGGTGGTCAGCGGATCCCGCGACGCCACGCTTCGCGTCTGGGACATCGAGACCGGTCAGTGTTTACATGTCCTCATGGGCCACGTGGCGGCAGTGCGCTGCGTCCAGTATGACGGCCGCCGGGTGGTCAGCGGTGCCTACGACTTCATGGTCAAAGTTTGGGATCCAGAAACGGAAACCTGCCTGCACACGCTGCAGGGCCACACCAACAGAGTGTACTCTTTACAGGTGAGCAGATCCATGTGAACTCCTGAAAATAGGCAGTTTGAACCCAGGATCTCTTGTAGTTTTTATTAATTTAGCTCAGGTCGAGTCTGCCATTTTAGTTGTTTTAATTTGTGTATTCCAAATGTGTGTTATTGTGGTTAATTTTAGTAACAAAAAATAAATAAATAAAAGAACGGTGTCCTTTAAGATGTCCTCTGTCCACGCTGTGTAATGACAAAGCACTTACGCTACAGAGGAGGCTGCTCACGGTGCTGATTGATTGATTTTTGCACACCTCTTCTTTGTTAGGCTTTTAAAAAGTGTTGGTGCTCTCCTACTGGAGGTGTTAGGACAAAAAAGATGAGCTCCCTCAGATCAATAAAATGAATCAATTTCAATGAGTTTAATCTAAAGTTTATAAGTGGAAGTGCTGCGTCAGTAAGATGTTTTCACAATCAGCTGCAAGTTAGGGTGACACCTGCAGTGGTCTCGAGCTGACGTTTTACATATTAGCCTGTGAGACCTCATCCTTTCTGTCTGCAGTTCGATGGGATCCATGTGGTGAGTGGCTCTCTGGATACGTCTATACGAGTCTGGGACGTGGAGACGGGGAACTGCATCCACACGTTAACGGGACATCAGTCCCTCACCAGCGGTATGGAGCTCAAAGACAACATTCTCGTCTCAGGCAACGCAGACTCCACTGTCAAGATCTGGGACATCAAGACAGGACAGTGTCTCCAAACACTGCAAGGTGAGGAATTCAGTTGTAGTGCAAGAGTTGTACTTCGTTTTGATGACCATGTTGAATATATCATTTTTACCTCTGCCAAGGGAGGAGGTAATGTTTTTGGTCGCGTACGTCCGTCTGTCTGTCTGTGGACAAAATTACTCAAAAACTTATGGATGGATTTTCATGAAATTTTCACCACAAGTGAGTATTGGCCAAAAGAACACACCGTTAGATTTTGGTGATGATCTGGGTCACGATCCGGACCCAGGAACAGCCAATCAGCTTCAAGGAAGCTGACCGTAGACTTCCAATCACTTCAGGTCATTCGTAGATGGGTCATCCCCCCGACTGTAGACATCCAATAGGATTGCCTGAAGCGGTGAAGAACACCAATCATGAATGCGCATGGAAATAAAACTTTAGACCAAATTGTTTTTAAATCGACAAACTTACTGTTTGAAGTTACTTTAATGTAACAACAGATCATTTTCATAATACATCGGCCTGCGCGTCCTAACAATTTTGTATTTTGTGTTTACGTTTTTCCCCCACCTATATCGGAAAGGTAAGCTAGCTAACTCATCACCCCCCAGGTCTGTTATCCAATAGATAGTGCTAAAGTTTACTTAAACAATTATGTCTATTCTGTTTTTTACAGCTAAATGTTTTCTTTTTTCTGATGCTGTTCCACTCCTGTTGCATGTAATTTATTGCGTGTTTAGTCATTGTAAAGCGCTTGTACACAAACACACATATGACTAAAAATGTAATAAATCACATACAAAACAAACACACACACATACGACCTTGGCGGAGGTTTGCGCTCTCCGAGTGCTTCTAGTTCTTTCTGTTTCCAGACATGTATTTATATGATAGTTAACATATAATTTACATAATAACTTAATGATGGACCAGCCGTATGTCTGTGCACTCTTACAACCATTTTCATATATACCCTCTAAAGCTGGGCTTATTACACCTTTGTTGTGCTTCGGTGTCGAAGTTAATCCTCTGTTGTTTCACCTCAACTGTGGGGCCAAACTGCTATAAATTTGTGAAGTGGAGTTTGTTGCATCTAGCACTACACTGTTGTCAGCTGCTTCCTCTGGACCAGCTTGGTGTATTTAAGCAACAAACACATGCCAACACGGAGTTGAGTTGCTTCTGTTTGACGTGTGAATTAACACACGGCGGCTTCACAAGGACACTTTTTTTTACACCAATAAGGCACAAGCACTGTGTGAACAGGACTTCTGACTGCAGCTACTTCAGGGTCTCACGGGGCTGTGACTCTTGAGAGTAGTTGGCAAAACTTTGTGAGAAAATGGACACATTTTCGGTTGTAATCTCACTGAATTCTGAGTGCTTGTTGCCCAACTCCACTTTTGTTGAGCACACCTTGGCAGCTGCTCCCTACAGTTATGATTGGATCATCTGGGGTACACTTTAGAAGTAGAGATAGGTTGATTTGGAGCAGTTTTTCCTGAATTATTATTGTTAGTGATCAGCTTGGGTTTTAGACCTGGAGGGATGTTTTAGTTTTAACAATCCAGAATTTGATGAAACTAAACTGAGATTGGTTTGAGACTAGTTTGAGACACTCACAGCTGCTTTATGACTATGTTGAGAGACACTTACCATATTTATTTGTGTAAAATAAGATCTCAGGTATAATACGACCCCCCCCCCCTTATTTTTAGCCTAAAAAGCACAACAAATTAAATTCTCATAATACCTCAATTTCATACGGACTTTAGGACTTTTCAGCCTTTGCAGTCTTTCTGCATACAGTAAAATGATCATTTGACTGTTGTATCAGTTTTTTATTTTTTTAACAACATATGCACTAAAAGGTACACAACAACAAATTGTATAACAGTAACTACAACAAAACCTATCAATGTGAAATTTAGCAATACTCATTTGTTAACTGGTGTGATATAACAAACAGAGCTATGTGACTCTAATAAGTGTGGATGGAGCTGAAATAAAAGTCTTCAAAATCAGGCTCACCATCATGTTTCATCAAAAAGTTTTTGGTATTCCTCCTCTGTAATAAAGGCATCAGAATCCCACTCAACAACAATCTCATCCTCTGTGTCCCGCCAGTGATGCATCTGGTGGGGAAACGTTTTTCAGGTAGACCAACTTTTACAGAACACCAGTAGAGAGCAGCCATTACAGCCGACCGTGTGTTTGTTGTTGTTCCAGGAGTGCCCCGGTCGCACATTAATGCTATTAGTTCGTTATCATTACTAAGCTGCAGGACTGCCTTTTTTTCTTTTTTTTTTTTCACATCATGTCGCCTGAATCTGTTACTACCTCGCTCAGAGGCATGAAGGAGTGTCAGAGGTAAGCTCGCTTCAACTGATTTTTACGACGTGGTCTCATTTCCGGACGCAGGCATTTTGTGAATGAGGCCGATATTTCAGTTAAAATACATAAGCAAAAATATAGATCCGAGTATAGTACTACCCCCCAACTTTATGGATGATTTTATGGATTAAATTTTTTTGTATTATACTAGAATAAGTACGGTAATCACACATTTTGAAGTGACAAGACTAGGAGCCTCTGTGTTCCCTCAAGTGAGGAACTTGATAGCTCAAAAACAGTTTGAAGATTGCCGTTTGCTCAGTAAGATAACACTCATTCCTCTCAGAAGGAGAAGCCTTAATGTTAAACCTAAAGATGACTCACTCTGTTGGTGTTTTCTGTGTAAGGTTCATTTTATATGAAATTGTGAAGTTTTTCCTAAAAGCAGCAGAACCTAGTGTGAAAGACCTGTAGGATGTACGTTTGATGGTACTGAGCCAACACGTCCTGGCCTTCCTGCTTCTGGTTTCTTTGTGTCTGTTTGAATAGCTCTATCTTCATTACAAGTGCTTAGTGTCACACAGGAAGTTGGACGTCCTTCGTTGAATAGAAGTGGCAGCCACTGGTGCCCCATCTCTAAATACCCTCATTAGCAAACATACAACCCTGTAAGCTGGTTCTTCAAACACCAACACTCAGCAGCTGAACAAAAGGATGCCCCAGTGAGAGCATGAAGAGAGCGAGAGGGATTTAGAGTTGGGGGGTTGGAGGATGAATATCGGTTCTTGTTGATGACGACGGGGTCGAGCGGTAAAAGGACAGGGGAACTTTGTAGGTCATATATGTAGGTCAGCAGACAGTTTCTGCCATTCATTACTGTGTGTGGATAAGACAATAGCCTAACAACAAGGCTTTCTACTGTGAGCTGATGGCAGCGTAGGTAGCGATGGTGCAGGGGAGAGCAGAGGGGGTGGGGATAGAAATATTGAAATGAATAAAATCACATAATGAAGGCAGGAACATCTTCTTTACTTTGCCCGTATCTTTATGTTGGAAGGCAAATGAACCTGACAGACTGTTGAATATCTGTGAGTGACAGGTCTGAGCCACAGCATCTTACTGCAGATCAACTGAAAATTTGCCTAAGGCTGGAAGAGTCACGGGCTGACTGACAATTCTTTCCTAGTGTTTTTTATTGGCTCTTACAGCGCATCTGCTTTTGTTTTACATCTCCCCCATTTCCTTTTGTTTGAGTGACTCTGGTTTAATTTAGGAGCCAAGATTTAAAACAGTTTACTCAAAGATTGAGAAATGTTTTTCTTTTGTTTGTTAGTTTATTTTAAGAAAGTGGACAAAAGGTAAACCACCAGTCCAAACAAAACTTTGTAGTTTAATGAGGTACTTAGACTCATTACTGAAACCACAAGTCATTATTTATTTTATGTTTGAATAAGTAACCAACCTTTGCTTTAAGATTAATAACTAAAATTGCTTAAAATTGTGACCATATAAAATTACGGAGCCCGCGAGGGGACATGGGAGATTTTTTTTTCTTTTGCGTTCCCACGCAATACCTTTTGCGTTCCCTCGCAAAAGTCGTTTATTAAAGTTGTGCCTGCCGGTTTATTTACAAATTCACATGCTCACCATTAGCGAGTTAGCCTACTACTTTATTTCAGCTTTAGAATGAATATATCACACAGCCACGCATAGAAGTATGTCATATGCCGATATTTTAACACAGTGCAGCCACGCAACATCAATGTCAATTTCATGAACTTGTGGCGACACATCCTGTTTTGGTAACCAGATATTGCAAAATAAAAGTCTGATTTAACTCAGTTCATATACAAAACAAACTTTTGCGTGGGAACGCAAAACAGTTTTGCGAGATAACGCAAAAAGTATTGCGAGGTGACGTAAAAGTATTGTGTGGGAACGCAAAAGAAAAAAAATCCCCCCATGTCCACTCGCGGGCTCCGTATAAAATAGGATTGTGAATTGGCAAGAATTTGGTGATACAATGCATATCACGACACACGGGTCACAATATATTGTG